ATCTCCATTAATTAGCCATTCACGCGACTTTAGCGACTGTTGGGCAAAATCTCGCGGTTTTCATGAGCGAATATCGCGCGTTGGCGATGCTTTGGCGACCGGTGAGAGTGTCGGATTCCCCCAGTGACCCGCTTCTTGGGATGCGCGCGCGCTGTCTAAACTGGAAAATCTGCCTGACAATTTCGCTCAAAAATCCCATGTATTATTTATTAGAAATTGTCAAATGGCATTATTTATGGCGCTCTGCACCACATGTTTCTTCGAATGAGGTGAAAAGTCTTCCACAAAATACATTTAATTGCCTCATTATGTAAATATATTGCGATCTGTATGGAGAAAACTCTTCGAGAGAGTCGCGCACTCTCTCGAAAAGTAATGCACTCAGACACACAATTGAAATGAAAAACCATCGCCACACAATTTTCCCGCCTCTTTTCCACTCCGTGGAAACTCCACAAATGCAACAATACTCGGTGTGTTGGCAAAGACATGCATTGGAGCATATGCAAATTTGGTCGCTATACGTGTAAATTATGTGCGAGGCTGCAATTTATAAAATAAAATAATTAAGGTGCAATTTATGTTGATACTATATGTGTGCACAGGAGTGGGAGAGACACACATGGAGAGCTCGAGATAGAACCGACAAAATGTTGCATAATGAGAAGTGCCTTTGCAGGAGGACTCAAAAGCGCGGCTGGGTGGAAAAAAGAGGCAGCATAATTAAATGGAATTTCTGTCAAATCACGTATCAGGGCGACAAAGCAGCGCTTTTGTTACATTTTTTCCCTGCAATTTTGCCTGCCTTACATCAATATTCGTGACTGCAATTGAGATCGCGGACAATCTCAGTTGTATCATTAGAGACACTCTTTTTTTTCCTCCTGAACCCACAGAGATTTATGCGCGTTGACTTTTCGCGATGTCGCGCAATGCCCAGTAAAAATCACGACATTCTACGTGATCCATCGGGGAAATTGACGTTAGGCGAGTGAGAGAGAGTTGAAAGGAGTTTTCCTGCTTTTCTGCATATCATTGTTCGCTAGGTGTGAACCAGTATTGAAATTCACTGCATTTGCATGCATTTTCAGCACTCCTTAGACTTCACAGGGTATTTCAATGGTCTTTTTAGCTGGATTGATTCGATTTCTCGTTGATTTGAATTCAAATTTGACAATTGAAGATGACATTGACATTTACTTTCCTGTCAATGTCACAATTCCATAAGAAAATTGACCACCTTTCCATCGCGTGTTGTCTTAAACACTGCAGACGATCAATGTGTAAATTCTTTCACTGCCATCGATCAGGATCTCTGCGTTGCATTCCAACCCACGACAAGGAATGCGCGCAATCGGACAAAAAAGTCCGAAGCAATTAAGCTTGATTGAGGATTGAGTGCGAGCGACAGAAGGTGAAACAATGCAAGAATTGCATTCTCTGACGTGTCAAAATACCAATGGTGGGTCTCAAATTAGTTTGGAGCACATTATGGACCCAAGAGAGCAAAAAGAGCCTGCGCGGCTGTGGCAATAGAGACTCGCGCGCGGTGTATAATTTTCCATGATATTTCTCTCTCGATGGCCTTCGAGGTCTCCAATATAAACAATTCGATCTATTTTAAATGTCTGTCTCTCCACTCTACCTTCTTTTTTTCTCTCTACTCGCGCGCACATGAAGTGTTCACATAAAATTGTAACAAGCAAGTTCTCTATTGGGTGTGGTCTCAATCTCTTGGCGTTCTTTTGAATGTCATTTCATTTATTGTGGGCACTTTTGTGAAACAAACACATGCTCTGCCATCAACTTCCATTACAAATATAATTATTTATTGCCAAGACAGGGCGGGAGTGGGGCGCCGGATCGGTGGCAGTGATGGCTTGTCCTTTTGGCGTGCTGAGTGCGGATCTGAGAGGCGCGCATTTGGCGCCTATATAAGAACAAAAAGCTTAATTGGCTGCGATGGAGCGCGTGAATATTTGGTGAACGCAATTCAGGCCTCAATCGCGAGAGTGGAAAATGCCACATGTGAAGTGCTGATGGAGCTCGACAGCTCCCTGAGAGGGAGGTGAAACGGATCAGGAACCAGAACCACTCCCTGGCCACCGTCTTTGCCAATCGAGCTGGCGTTGTTGATGAAAGCAAAAAAGAGCGACTACCACTGTGACCTTGCCATCGATTACGATTTCTCGATTTTCATTTATGTTATTCAATTGGTAAATTGATCAGAGACACGCCAAGTCAAAAGTGTCTCTCTCTTTGGTGGCCCAAAGACGTGCGAGATGGCCTGGATGGCCACTGGCGAAACACAGTGTCTCATTAGTGAAAAATTTTGTACCCAACATCAAAATGACAAACTCAAGGCTCCTCAATTAACTTCCATCTAATAAGTGTTGCACAATTGGCAATAAAATTACAATTGCACGGACCTTCTTAAAATTCTCTCTCTCTCTCTCTCTGTCTTTGCGAAACACACTGAGGAAAATGGCTTGTGTGAAAAATCAATTAATTGCAACATTCTGGGTGTAATTTTGTCTCGAAAAGTCACTCCTCAAGTCCAATTTGCTTCGATCGTCCGTGCAATTTCACCCATTCCATCGAGACCAAATGCAAATGCAGCTGTGCAAGATTGCCAAGATCGGATGAAAGTGTGCAATTCGATCGCAAGATATTTTCACTTTTACAGTAAAAGCCGCCCACAATTTTTCTCACATTCGCGACATGCGAAGTGATCCAAATGTGTCCTCATTGTTTTCCATCGCGGAATTTATGTCTCACATTTCTGCATCGGAAGAGAAGTGATTGCCGCAAATCACTGGAGTGGAAGGTGTTTATGGGCTTGAGTTGAAGGAAGGGAAAAAGGGCGAAAGTGCGGTTTCACAGCTAATTTCTTAAAACATTTCATGAAAATTCACACACACAATTTTTTGATTGCAATTGAATTCTCAATTGCGCGCGTTTCTCCCCATGAATAAAGCTAATTTGAAAAAATTTAAAAATGGGATCATCGTCGAATTGAACACAATTTTTACATACTTTGCGGTTTTCTGACTCATTATTATTATTATTATTATTTGGCGTGAAAACCCAAAATCTCTCTTCCCGGAACCAATACTGGTTAACCTTCGAAAGTGCAGCGAAGCGCAACAATCTGGATGTAGATTTTGGCAATTCAGTGACCATTTCCATGACATTATTTATGACAGTTCTTATCTGTCAATGTCAGGTGATTTAAATTTAAATCCAGACAAGGTTGCTGTACCGTTTCAGAAGCACGAGAGCTGAGAATTCACGTTTCTTTTCGTTATATTGGCAATAAAAGAGCAATCTCGCGGCGGATGAGCAGAATCAAAACATTGTGGAAGATCGAAATCGACTCCTCTGGACATGAAAGCGCGAATGAAAGCGTCTATGGAGGATGAATGAAAGTGCAATTGGTCGATCACGGTCATGATGGCAGGCCAGATGATTATCGGCCGACTCAGCGAGACAGAGATTCATCCACATCTCAATGAGGTGTACATTTAATAGGCAACTTGTGGTCATCAAACAAGTCATTTTCTACAACTCGCTTATTCACCATCTGCAGAATTTGCTGGGCGAAGACAAACGCCGTGTGTGCATTTTATGGACTGTGTTTGCTCAGTGCAAAAAGCGACTCACATTTGGTGCTGTTGTTGAAAGTATGTATTTTGGTGTTTGAGAGAGGCGGGGAAATGATAGAAGATCGCATTAAATTGCTCATGTGCAGCAATTTTCCTTTCAACTCTGGCATGCCGAGGAGTGGGGCGAATGAAACCTCAGGAGTCATCTCTCTGACCACAAATCGAATTAACCTTCTTGAGAGTCTCTTCGGATGGGCGCAAAAAATGCATGACATGGTGGAAAAAGTGCCGCTCTGATGCCTCAAAGATGATCAAATTCATTGTCGTAATACTCAATGTGATTAATCGCATGAATTTCGAGAATTACCAGTTAGATGTTGCTTTTTTCCAGCACTCTCAGCATCTTTCTTGCATCTTGAATTGACCATCTTGCATCGATCGATGTTACATAACGCATGAAAAATCATCGATCGATCGATACATTGGGATACCGAATCTCAATAGGCGCATCAAATTGATCATCGGCCAGGCCAAATTGACGATGATCAATTAACAACACGCCATCCAATTGAATTATATTGTGCGCTGTGGCCAATTTCACTCTACTTTCCTGAGAATGACGCGCGCGCGCGCTTCTTCTCTCATGCTATAAATAATGTGAAATTTTGTCCACATCATTAAAAACTTATTCATCGTCATTTTTTCCCCATCTGAATGGTCGTTTTATGATGGACATCCGATTGGGTGAAACAAGCTCTTCGGACGCAGTCCGTTAAATGAAATCACATCTCATCTCGTTCGACCCTGATTTTTTTTTTGCCACCACCAATCAAGGCTCTTCACCTCATCTCGCGCATCTCGCGGCGAAATTGAAGTTCTATTTGTTGTTCACTTTCGCGTGAGAACTTGCGACGGATGTCAATCGTCAAATTGTCACATGCGGAGTGCCGAAAAAAGAGCTCCTCATCACATCTTAGAAGAGCTTCCCATGCATCGCCATTGGGGGCAATAAAGGCAATTTTGTGGCAATTTATATCCAATTACAATCTTCACTCAGCACACCTCAGTGCACGCATATTTGAAAATGATCGACTGACGGTGGAAATGGCAAGAGAGAGAAATTTAAACTTGCATTACTTTCTGTTCTCCCCGCCCGCCTCTCATTAAAAAGTCTCAAAATGGCAAATACCATTTTCTATATATTCAAACTGTTCAAACCTCTCAATGTGGCCATTTTTGCAAGCGCGACATTTTGCCACTGTTGCTCCACATGGACGAGCGCATTTCGTCAGATGGAATTGTAACTTAATTTACGATATTGCGCGCGCGGGTTCGTCGTCTGAGGCGCTCAAGTCTTTCGTATATGATAATAAAATTTTGTCAACTTCTTCCTACCTTCACTGAAGATCAGCATGAGTGCTAAAATCCACAATATTCCAGCTGGTATCCCCATTGCTCCAGTTTGAAAAACTTTCATCACACACTTTCTCACACAACTATTTTATTTGTTGTTGCGCGCGCCAACAAAATATCGCAGTTGCTGCAGAAGATGGGAGGAAAAGGCAGAGTTTTCGCGGTGCAGAGTGGCTTTCAGGTGTAGTAATATGGCAATATGGGTATGTTATGGGCATTAACGAGGCACACAAAACTTTGCACTATCTCTTCCTTGAGCCTGTTCACCAACATTTAAGCCATTTGTGTGGCGCAGAAGGGAAAACTCTGGCGACAGCTTTTCACACAAAAAAAAGGGGTTTCTTTTTGCGCGCGCACACGAGAAGAAGAGGGGGTTAAAGAGGGAGAGAGAGAGAGAGCGGGAAAAATTGAAGAAAAACCACTCGGTTTAAGGGTGAAAACACAGTGACAATTCCACGCGATGATTGCGATGGTCAGGAGAAAAATTCCTCAAGGATTTCGTTTATCTCTCGGTGTTTGTGAGTCTTTTTCTGCTGCGGAGGTGCGAAAGAATGGCGTCTCGAATCGTCGCTCCAGTGCTTCACATTCGAGCACTTTTCTTCAACTGAAGTCTCAATCTCTTGCAGGCAGCAGTGAAATGCCCACGAGTCGTGGCTCGCGGTGGGGATTCGAGACTTCTTGCACGGCTGATGGCGGGGCGCGAACAGTGAGCGCAACAGAGACAATTGCCGCCACAAAATAGCTCTATTACTCCTTCTGTGGGCCAAAGGAAGCGCGGAGAGTCTGAGGAGTGAGCCGAAATTCGCTGCCAAATGTCCACCACTCACGCCAGGGCATTGTTTAATTTCATAAAATGGAAAATAATATGAAATTAGTGCTTCCATAATTCCAATTTATTCACCACTCTGGGCGACCGAGCAAGGTTTCGACCTTCCGTGGCTGCTCGGGTGAGAGCAGAAATGCCTAAAAATTTCGTTATTTGCACCAAATACCAGTTCATTGGGGAGGAAAGTCGCGCGCGCGCACACACAAGACTTTTCCTTTTTCCACCATGGCATAAAAAGAAGTCAAACATTTCGACACGACGCGCGCGGCATTCGCGCGAAGCCCCGTGAAAATTCAGGCGGTGGGAGTGTTGGAAAATTGCGCAAAAAAATCAAAATATATATATAGAGAGAATATACTTTTCCACCATGCATTTCGCAACGACACTCATGCTTCAATTAATTAATAATTCAAAACAATATTACTGCCTTTTGCCTCTCTTGGCGTCTTTGAAAGTGGAATACGAAACAATATAACCTGAGACTTGTTGCCACAACAGCTCGCGCGGCCTGTATGAGGGCATATTTGCAAAAGATACAATTCTTCGACGAGGAAATGAACACTATATAAAATGGGCCTCAATGCCGAATGATCTGCAATTTCTCACTGGCGACTGGATGTTTAATAAATAGCCGAGAAGTTAATGAGCTAAAAGCACTTCCTACTTTTACGCCGCAGTTTTGTCTCAAGAGAGGAAATGATTTTTGGGCCTTTTTTTCGTTAATCATCAGAGGTAAATGACACGCCATGTGTGTGGAGAAGAATGTCTTGAAATATTAGAATAGGTTTTTGGGGTGGAGAAAAAATTATGTGAAGAGCAATTTCGTGTTGAAACTTCTACAAATTGTTGTTTTTTCCACATTCCCAAATTCTATTCTCCCCTGAAAATTTATGAGCATCGACAGAATTTGCATAAATTATCTATTGTGTGTTCGATGTCAAAGATCTTCGGTGTAATCATCTTTGGTGTCTTCTATCAAAACATATTTCGTACTCAGAGAAAAATGCGGAACGTCAAAACATGGTAAATCTTCTCCCGCAGCGAACAAAAAACAGAACAATCGCCAAGAATTGCAGAGAAGTAAGAAAAGAATCTCCTAATCAAGAACATTGATAAGCATCTGCATGGCTTTCAGACGCGTGAGAATTGGGATTTCCCAAGAAATCCGGAATGATTGTGTGAGAAAAGGAAGTCTGACTTTGACATTCCTCAACTTTAATGAACACACTTTTCATATATCTAATGTAGGACACATTCTTCATTTCATTGTACAAATCAACTTCCCAAACATTACTTAATACTTTTAATGTCTTCCTATCGTATTTTTTTTATATTGTTTCTTCAAGCCACTTGAGCAAAAACGGCAAAAACTCAGGCTGTTGTTTGTCGAAAATTCCTCAAATTGAGAATCGTGTTTGATTTTTCAATAGGCAAACGGATAAATTTTCTGGTTGATTTCATGAAAAAACGCACAAAAGCACCGGATTAGTTTGGGAACTTACCGGGAAGTTTGTTCGGTACTTTAGACAAATAGACTCATCCACGCTTCTCCAATTCACAATTTAATTGATGTTTCATGGCAATTTGTCGACAATTTCTACACAGGTTTTTGTTCAAAGTCTTATTGGTGAATCATGAATTGGCCATTTTCCGTGAATGGCCCGAAAAATAATTATGCCGCAGGTCAAAAAGGGTGGGAAGTTCCACACAGTGAATCACTTGGGCAGATTTACAACCCTCGCGGTCGGCGTGCTTCCGGGAAACCGCAGATGACCGCGGGTGGTTGGGAAAATGTTGACAAAACGCGGAACACGCAATTAAGGAGAGATGTTCATCTGGCGTGAGACAAAGTGCGAAGGCTCTTCGGATGTTTCACACACGATGGACGCGATTTACTTTCCATGTTTTCCAGCCATTTAGGCATTGTTGAAACGCGCGAGAGGCGCTGAAAGAACAAATGTTTGCCTTGATAAGTGAACCAGAACCGCAACTCAACTGGTTCATGGTTGATGATGGAAAAATGGTCGAAATATCGACAGCACGAGGTGCAGTGATATTACTTTTAATCACTGTCTTAACACGCTGTGTTTCTCTCCTGTTCACGAATCTCTTGCGCGGATCATGGGAACTTTTCTCCGCGCGCGCGCGTGAGAGAGAGAAAGAGAGACAATCTCTCTCGTCACGTTTGGGGAGAAAAATTGGCGCATTTTTCACGATGCGATTGCGAAAGTTTTTCGCGGCGAAAAAGCACTCTTTTCCCAGCCACTTTCATTCGCGCGCCATGGCAAAACTGAAGAAATGCATTTTGGCTGAGGAACAAAGAAATTATCACAATTTCACATTTTATTTGCGATATACATGATGGACAATTACTATTAATAATCTCGGCGGGTCTTTTTTTTTCAGCATCTCTCGCAAATACCACACGCTTCGGTCTTTTGTGCAATAACGAAGTCTTTGATAGCTCGCAGTTTTGTGGCTTTTTCACCTGCGATGATGGGGAAATGCTCGCACGAAAATGTCACGATAGATTGGATGGTTTCGCTGTGGAGTTTGCCAATTTTAAGGGGGTGATTTCCAAAGTACTTAACCAGAGAATGTGGCTGAAACACCCTGCAATTTGATTGAATGACTCCTAATCCGCAAATGGATCATAAATTGAATTCCTCCGCAGCATTTGTGCAGCGAATTCGCCTGCATTTGATGAATGGCTGAGAAGTTGGAACGTGAGGAAAGTCTGGAGCAGAAATCTGCGATCTGGTGCACAAATGCTGTTGAATTTGTGGGCAAGTTGGCAAAATTCGTGACATATCGGTGGCTCGGTGGCTTGAGAGTGGACGAGCCCAAGAAATACCGCGAAGAACGGACCAAGATCCGCGATATGGCATTCTAGCGCGCGCCTTTTCAATCACTGTCTGCCAAGACTTTCACAGGAGATCGAGAGCTCCTTATCAGATCCTCAGCAAATCATGCGCCAAGTCGAGATAAATTCGAATGGGTAGAAAATTAGCCGCAGTGGATTCTCTGCGGTGAAAACAATTAATTCGATGGGAGAGAAAGAAGGTAATTTGGGCTGGACTGTGTGTGTGTGTCTGTGTGGGTTCTCGGCAATCAGGAAACTCTGAGGCGAAGCCAATTCCGGAACTGGCTTCGTCATGTGAACGCCCAAGACACTGGTCAGCCTTCGAATCAATTTTCTTTATACACAAAATGTACGCGCGCGCCCGTAATTTTATTACACTCCATTCCCAATACGAACTGATCAAATGAGACCACGGAACAGTATCAAAAGAAATAAATATATTGCCCACAATCATTTTTATCGGCCATTCAAACGCCATCGCCGGGCGAAAGGCAAGAAATTTGCTCCGGTGTGTATGAAAATATACACGATCGCGCGCCTTATCTTGCAAATTGCACAAGAATTGAGGCTGCAAATCAGTGAAAATGCACAGCGGGACGCTTGGAAAACACAGTGAGCCTTTTCAACCATCGCCCGGGCTGAAAAAGCGCAATTGGCAAGTCACGATCAAATAATTACACGTGCCGCGCCGAAGGAAAGTGTCCAGGGAGGCTCTTGAACTCTCTTGCGCCTTCCTGGAATTCACTCTCCAGAAAAGACCTCTTCATTCGTCTTCAATTGTGCGCCTCTTTTGTGTGTACAAGAGCGCGAAGGATGGCGCGGCGAGGAGAAATTCTGGAAATGTTTCACCATGTTTTCCATCGCGTTGAATTTTAATAAGATTGTATAAATTCCTTAAAAATCAGCCACTTCTCTCATAAGCCTTATGAAATATCTGTAATTGCGTGGCGCTTTAAAGAGACTTAATGGTTTCGGCACAAGAATTCCTCGTGCTCATATTCAGCAATGCCACACAACAACGCCGACTTGCCAAATTTGATATACAAGAAGTGCTAAAAAAAAAAGCTTCACTCCAGTTTGTTGGGTAGAAATTTTTATAAATTTCATATAAATAAAATTCTTTCGTAAGCGGATAGTTGAAGAGGAAAAATGTAAAATAAAAATTGTATTTTAATGAATTTCTTTTCAGCGACAAAAATCACCGAAGGCGCATAAATTCTTCTCGTGCACAAAAATCTTGCATAATTGCACGGCAAAAGTGATCAAGCATGTTTCTTTCACTGCTCCAGAGTCTCTATTTTTCCCGTGAAATTTCAACCCAACAATCCGCATGTGTTCGAGTGAATCAAAGAGCAATTGAGCCATCGAAGGAGATGCCATCAATTTCTTAGGCGCGCTCATTTGTAAGCAAATGAGAGATGTCTTTTGAAGTGGGGAAATGCCCGGTGAAGACTCCATCTCGCGTGATTGCCATTGACTTGGTGTGCATTTAACGAGGCAAAATCCATTCTGGTCGCTCTCAATGGGGCTCTCTTGCAGCGAAAGCCCACCAAAAAAGGCGCCCCGGAATGCGACTGGGCTCCTCAAAGACCATCAACACAGTATTGCGCGCTCTGAGAGATGCCAATCAAGCCCTGATTTACAATCGTGTGGCTCTCTTTCTGCGGGGGAGGCGAGCCTCATAATCGCATTATTGTTGAGCCCATTTGTTGTGCGCGAGAGCAGAAATTGGGGCCACATTTGCTGTGGGCCAGTGACCAGTAATTTTTGCTCATTGTTTCAAATTAGCCAGCGTTATTTTGCACTTTTCCACCCAGACCTGCATCTGATCGACATTTATAAATACAGCTCATTCGCCTTCAGCGACATTCTGGACCATTTCAGCGATCCATTTGCTGCACAGAGAAGCGGAGCACCTTGAATCACCACAATCCGGATCGGCCCAACTATCTCTTCTCAGTGTCTACGGGTTTTACGCTCACAAATGCGCACCTCGCCGAAATATTCGACGTGAAAATCATCTCAATTTTTTTTCCCTTCCATCGCAGCGAATTGCAGCAACGCGGCGCGGACGCGAGGAAGAAGATCAGCTGAAGAGACATTCCACTGGCCGCTCAAAGTCAACGATCATGGACACTGAGTCGTGGTGATCTTATTTTCCCCGAAGAGGCACAGTTTTTTTTTTCATCGGACAACGCATAACTGAAATCAGGGCAATTATTGGTGAAATTGCGTAACATTCAGAGGTGGATTTTGACCAACAGAAGCTGCAAAACAGGCTAAAATGCAATCAATTACCTCTGCAGCTGGTAAAATTTTGTATAAAATTAGTTTGAGCAATTAAAAGTCACTTTTACTATCACCTTAACTCTGTCCATAAGGAAAAATCCATCCGAATTTGTTCATTTTCTATGGCACAATATAACAATTTAACTCACAAAGTGCAATTATTCATAAAATTGACTGCAAAAGTGCAACTAATAAAATTTTGTCTCTATTTTTCTCCTTTAGCAAAAGACTCCAACTGTGGGCAATTGCATATTATGCCTTAGAAACTCAGCGCGATATAGATTGTGCTTTTTTGTGAAAGGAAATCGCTTTGCGAGCCGCGCAATGCAGAAATTGTACTTCAAATGCGCGGCGGCCAAAAATGCATGGAAATATCACCATGAAAGACCGCTGAAATTGGCGCTTTTATTGCATTTTCGCATGATTAACTGATGTGGCGGCATTCATCTTGCTCGCACTCGCGAAAATTTTCCCAAATGGCAAACAAAAAATACACCTTTTCCACCCATAAATCCGCATGCGTTCCAGCAATTTGGCCGCGCGCGCGCCACCAAATAAATCTCGAGCCGCGTTTTATTGTATAATTTTTCCATTATTGGAGACTCTCTTGGTGGCCCATTTGACCGCGTCCACCCGCTGATCCGCTGTGGCCGTTTCCCGTGCACGCGGGCGGGAAAACGGACGGCGGCGCGTAAATGAGGCAAATTGGATCGCGCGCGAAGGCTCAATTGTGGCGCAAGAGTGGAATTTCGAAGGCGATTGTTGGAAAAGTGGCTGTGTTTCAATAAATTCAATTTAGAGTGTGATATAATTGCATAGCCATACCAACACATGAAACTCCTTCTATTTTCTCAACTTTTAATTGTAATTTCGTGCAAAAGCCGCACCCGCACGCCGGAGAATGTCTCGATCGATATCTCATGCCACAGATTCGCCGCGAGAGGCACGGAAAAAGGCTAATGCGACGCCTTTTTTACCTGCATCCACATTAGCGGCTCATTTGCCGCGAATTACTCTCCATTAGCCGATATCTCAGGGTTGCGACAGTTATGAAATTATCACGCACGGAGTTCAATCTCTCTCCCCAATCGCGTCGGCCGGAAGCGCGCATAAATTCCAGCGCGAGATCAAAACAATCTTCGCACAGCTTCTGAATGTCTGGCAGCGCGGGAAAACCTTCAGCTGACCATCCAAAAAAGCACCCTGAGTCGCTCTGACCTTGCTCACCATCAAATCTTTTGAGTAAATGCCCAGAAATTGCATTGCACAATAGACGGCCATTAGGCGGCTTTTTGCCAAGAAAACATTAACTTCCAATCAGGCAGGAGACAACACACTCCTCCACAGCTCTCAAGATCACTAATTAATCACTGGCTTGTGTGTAATTTTGTCAATTAAAACGCGATTTTGTCCGTTTTCCCCTGAAAATGCATCGCCGCGTTGCGCAATGCCTGAACCAGGCCTCGCGCGCCACTCACAGCTGAATTATTCCAGCTCGGTTGCAATTTACCTGAGGCACACGCCTAGAAAATCCATAAAATGTGAAATATTGAAGCTCAATTGTCGGAGAGCGAAAGTGAGCTTTCGATGGAGGCGCCGGGTAAGCGACGGTTGGGATTTGAACGGACGAACTTGACGAAAAAGCTCAATTTCCCGGCTGAACGCAACTTCTTGCGTTTGTTCTAAGGAGTAAAATTGGTCAATTGATCTTCCAGAGAATTATCTTGCCTTTGAGATTCAATCGATTGAATGGACACCAAATTCGTCATTTATTTGTGAAAAGTTTGGCTTGAAGTCCCGAAATTGTGATCAGGAAACGCATTCATGTTGCTGAATTTAACGAATTTCTGCAATTTTTCCTAATTTTCTTAGTTAATTTGCCGTTTTGCAGTATTTTACTCTCTTCTGTTTTTCTTGCTCTTTACTTACACAGCTTCTAATGTAGGCAAATGAGGCAAATATATTTTCTTTACTCCTAATTACCCTTTTTTCTATCAATACTCCTCCTAGAAAGGAAGCGGAAATTGAGGGAGTCTAACCTCAAATCAGGCGCCTTCGCGCCCGCCGCGCGAATTGCCGCCGTTGGAGGGAAAGAAGATGTTGAGTCGCACACAAGCGCGCGCTCTCTTATTATACTAATCTCTCTTGTGGCTCTTGTTTGGCTCTGGTGTGGCGCGGAGGTGGGGCAGAGAGCATGGCGCATGACTCCGCACACACAGCATTCCGACAAATGGCCAGCGGCAGCTTCTGGGGCTCCGCGGGGCCCCGGGGCGCGGGCGGCATGTTTTGTATCTGGGCCTGAGCGTGTGTGCGCTATAGTGAACGGCAGAGAAGGCCAGAGAGAGCGCACACAAAGCGAGAGAGAGCGTGAGTCAGTGTGGCGCACAAACAACACAACAATACACCAGTATGCGCCGTGACGCTGAAATTATCAAACATACCTCCACAGATGTGGAGAATTGGCTCAAGTATGATTTGCCCTGCAATTGACTCTCAGTTCCAACTTATTGATTAATCTGCATCCATCCCAGTGCCAGGATGGGCCACGATTGGGCATGCTGAGGACACTGAGCGCCTCCCGGAAGCTGTGAAACGACGAGTGGGTGCTTTTCAGTGGCTTTTCGTGCAGTGCAAGTGAAATACTGAGTGCAAGTGACGCTGGACGATGGATTTGGCCATTGGGATTAAGGACAAGTGTCGCCTGTGCGCCGTGGATCTGGCCAACATCCCGGCCAGCACGCGGATCCTCCACTTGAACGAGAAGTCCGTCCTGGACAGAATCAAGAAGTATCTGCAAGTGACGGTGAGTGGAAAAAAAGCGCCTCCCCCGCACAGAACATCCCCCCAAACACCCCCCAATTCATGCCCGTTTATTGATTTTATTTTTAACTATACTCCGCCTCTGTGTGGGGGCTCCGCACTCACACACACGCGCGCGCCTGTCTCCCCACATGAGAGCCGCACTCTGGGGAGGGCGAAGAAAAAACGCGCCACACAGCAGAAACGCACGCACACACACGCGGCGCGCCTCTCTCTTGCATTTCCACGCCGCGCGCCCGGAAAACGCTCACAATGAGGAAAATAGTGACTGGCGGCTCCTCAGCAGTTTGGAGGGCAAAAAAGAGTGTTTATGGGTTGCCTGTCCCACGCGGAAATCGATAGATTCGCATCGAATGCGCTCCCGGAGGACTCGCCACTCTGATTTGTGCCAGCCGAAGGGGGAGATATTGCCCGAAGTGGTGTACAACTCTCTGGAAGCCTCAGGAAGCGACACTTTGTTAACAAAGTGACGTATTATTCTAAAATTCCATCGAATTATCTGTTTAGTTTGCCCGTACAAAGGAATCCTGGTGCTTTTCTGGGATATTAAGGACAAAAATATCAAGTTTTAAACCCAAATTTCAAATACTTGAATAATAAAAGAGATTTTGTACTTCAATTAAATTTATTTCAAGCTAATGATCCGGTTGTTATACTTTGATTTTCCTACATTTTGCTCTCTAAAGTTTCTGAACCTTGTTCAATATGAAATTCTTAAAGATTTCTTAATATTGTTTAAGATTATGATCGAAAAAATGATGATAAACAGCTTATTGAAGCAGATTCTTTCAAAAATATCAATTTCAAACCTTACTGATAAAGTTATTTGTTAGTTTTCGGGATGATTAGATCAAGTGTGATTAAAAAAACTAATTTTCTATCTCTATTCTTTGTTCATAACCTCACAATTTATTAAAAAGTTCTGAATCGATGCTTTCATCAGCTTATTATCTCCCCCTTGGAGTCATCTAATGCCGCTTCTCTTGTGCCCCAAATTGCCCTCGGGGCGCCTCCGAATGCCACAGCCCGTGAATTTCCTAGCGCATTTAATTAATTCCACCCTCAAGAGGTATGAAAATGCAATGAGGAAATTTGGATGGCATTTAATTTGCCATTCAATGCAGCTTTAATTACATCGACTAGAATTGTTGGCATGACGCAATTCTGCGAATAAATGGGGTTTTCGGACAAAAAGTCTCCGGCTAGTGAAATTGTGGCGATGTTTTATCATTTCCTAGCACAGATTGTAACGCATAAGCCGCAATTTCGGGCTGGTATTGCGTAAATTGGAAGGAATCCCACTTGTGTGGGAATTGAGGCACATTTCGCTCCTCTTCGCGACCAATTATTCTCGTCCCCGGCGATTGAGTGCTCTCTGGAGTGCTGCCCAGGAGCCGTGCGAGGAAAAGTGGACTCTTGGGAGGAATCTTTCCGGGTAATGAAGCGCGCGTGTGTTTGTGCTTTTGCGTCTCTGATCGTCATGAAGTACACACATTCGCGGCAGTGCGATAGGCGGCATGATCATCAAGGTCTCCCCAGCTGAGCCAGAGACTCACACAGCGCCGAGGAACGCACACAAAATAAGAAAAAGCGCCGCGCGTGAGTTTATGCGGCGGAATAGGTCGTAAAGCAGGTGAAAGATTATGATTTCGGGCGCAAAAGTGCCACTCAGGCTCGTGTGGAGCTCTTGGCGTGGGCAGGGTGGCTGCGATTGGGGGCGGAGGCCGCGGGAGAGCGCCAAAAGTGCGCCGGCGTCCGAAAAGAGTGCCAGCAACACGTGGCAACGGCTGTTGCGAGGGTGGCGAAAAGGCGCGCGAAATGCGGAGGAATTTATCGTTTAGCGCGATATGAGCATTTATCTCTGATTTCAGGTGAAGCTGGACGACTACATGCCAAAGATTGTGTGCGAGAGATGCTGCCAGATCATCATGGACATCGATGAGCTGGCCAAGGTGGCGAAGAACACGCAGAAGTACTTCCTGATGCATCTCAATGCGTCGCTGAAGAAGATTGAGGAGCAGCATGAGGAGGCGCCGAAGCGCTCGCGGAAGCGCGGCAGGAAGGCTTCGGGGAAGCAGGAGGTGCCGGTGAATCCGCCGGTGTCTCTGGAACAGATGATCAACGAGCAGATCTCGCGGAATCCGCCGGGGGTGGAGAAATGTCTCCACAGCGATCCGCAATTGAGTTTCTTAGCCGGCAACGAAGTTTCTATTTATGCGTATGACGACTTGAAGCTGGGTCAGTTGATTAAGGACACGGAGCTCCTAAAGCTGATCCTGAAGGCGCTGAAGTGGGAGGATCAGAACTTGGATGTGCAGCTCGAGAGGCTGAAGAACACGAGCTTCAGGAAGATTCTCAGCAACTCGAATCTCCTCCACGACGGCGATCTGCTCAGTCTGATCAAGTCCTACGTTGGTCAGGACACTTTCACCAGCACCTTCAAGTCTTCAGACGCCGGCTCGGGCGTGGTGTATGATCTGCAGGTGAGCTACCATCTGCCCAACGTCACGGTGACCACGGGATGCCAGGAGAAGCAGACGGAGCTGAAGAATCTCTACGGCGGCGAGGTGAGCGTGACCGAGATGGAGGTGGGAGTGGATCCGGAGCTCTTCCTGCCCTACGACGACGACACAGAGGCCACAAATGGGGAGGGAAGCTGCGACAGCACGACTCTGAGCGTGGATCTGAGCGAGCAGAGGGACTTTGAGGATCTCCCGGCGGAGAATAACAATGAAGAGACGACCACTGACATTCCAGACGTGGGATTTCACTGCACCACGTGTCCGGAGAAGTTCCAGACGCACGTCCAGCTGCAGGATCACGTGCTCACGCACTTGCTGAAGAAGAAGAGCAAGTCCGGCAAGAATGGGAAGGAGAACGAGGCGAAGGTGAGGAACCTGGAAGAGGGAAATCTCATGGGGAAGTTCACTTGTCTCGTGTGCGACAAGAAGCTGTCCACCAAGGGGAATCTCAAGGTGCACATGGACACTCACAAGCCCAAGGGAAAGTACGCCTGCGACAAGTGTGGAAGGATGTGAGTTGGAGCGTCTACAGGAGTGATTTCCGGACGCTGACAGAAAGTCTTTCTTTGCAGATTCAAGACTGTAGTGAATCTCGTGCGCCACAAGGAATACCACAGCGGAATAAAGTTCTCCTGCACCATTTGCGGTCGCGTGTATCCAACGAATAGCACTCTGAAGGCGCATAGCATCACACACAGCAATGTGAGACCCCACACGTGTTCCATCTGCAAGAAGACATTCAAGAGGAATCAGGATCTCAAGGTTTCCCATCTCTCACTGCTTTCTTCTGCCTTTTCTCATTCTCTCCCGTTCATGTTTTTGCAGTTTCATCTCAATCAGCATACGGGCGAGAAGCCCTACAAGTGCATTTACTGTCCCAAGAGCTTCGCCAGCTCCGGCAACTGTTTCTCCCACCGGAAACGCATGCATCCTGAGGAGATGAAGCTGTCCAGTCGCGACGAAGAGGCCAACGCCACGGACGCCAGGCCGTCGGGAGAGGTGTAAATATTCCACAGTACTTATTTGTGTGCGTAATGGCTAGATAATTGACTATTTCTGTGATATGTTGAGAAAATCCGTGGAATTTCCTGGAATAAAATTGCGCCATGTGAAGAGTGAGGTTATTTCTGGCGGGAATCGGACGATGGGAAGTGCTTCGGAGACTGGCCGCGGGGCGCGCTGGGGTGCGTATAACTGCGATTAGAACAGCATGTCAATGCGCTTTTCATGTGCAAAATTCTGGTGTGTTCGCCTGTGCGGATAGGCGGCCGCGGGCGGGTGTAGTGGTGTGGCGCGCAGATTGTGCGGCGGTGTGCGTGGGGAGCTCGCGGAGTCGCAATAAAAGAGACGGAGCGCAGTGAGTTTGACATTCAGTTGTGCTTGTGAGGTTATGAGGGCAGGACTGTGGTACTGCCCAGGAGCCTTTTCTCACTGTCCTCTCTGGTTTCGTCAGCTCCTGCTCGGCCCCCGCGCGGCGGTGGGCATCGCGTGTACTTAGTGTTGTGTGTGTGCTCGAGACACGATGGCCACGGAGGCGCGCGAGGACGGAAAATTCCTCAGCCGAAAGATGATGGCCAGGTGCAGTGGACACTGCCACAAGAATCGCAACAGTGTCGTCCAGCCGCTGCTCACAGGTGAGTGCGCCCACGCGGCGCTGAGCTGTTGACGGCGAAAAAGGCGCCATGACCTCTGATGACCCTGGCCGACTGCCCAGGTGGCCAAGACTCCCATGAATCGCGCGGATTCGCCCCTCTGGCCGCTCCACGCGGCCCGTGGCGAGTCCACGCGAGCGCGCACTGGGGCCACAGAGGCCCTTGAAACACTCGCACTTCAGGGGCTCCTTATCAGGCGCCTTATCGCGCCTCTGAAAGATTCCGCTCGGGGTTTATCAGCCGGAAGAAAAGTGTGCATGCAAAGCAACAGTTGCGCTGAAGAGCGAAAATTGCCCGATTGCGTCAGGAAAGAGTGACACAATTTTCCAGGGAAATGAATGATTGAACTTGTGACCCTTCTTAAAATTCTTAGAATAGTGAAAAATGCACAGGAAATGAGAGAAAATACACGCAACACCCAAGAAGCTAATAAAAGTATGATTTTCAGCTAAAATTTTAGCTAAATTTTGTTGATAATGTGATTAATATTTAGAAAATAAAACAAATTTGGGGTTTATGATGAATTTAATGGAAATTAAGCAGTGTCTAGCAGAATATTTCACTAAAATCCTTACTTTTATTCAGCTGATTAGAAGAAAACTTGAAAATCACGCATTTTCAGTTAAATTTATTGAAATTGACTCAGTTTGCGGGGTGAGAAACCCTTTGGCGATCGTGAGGTCACAAGAGAGTGAGAGCGAATGCAAAACGCGTCGAGTGCGAATCGAAAGAGGAAGACTGTCGGCAGAAAAAGCCTCGCGATTCGCGAACACGAGCGATCGGAGACGCAATTGATGCAAAACTGGCGCGCATTGATTGGGAATTTTCCTCCCGCTTTGCAGATCTCTACCAAATAACCATGGCCTATGCGTACTGGAAGTCCGGCAAGACGGAGGATCAGAGTGTGTTCGATCTCTTCTTCCGCACGAATCCCTTTCAGGGCGAGTTCACGATCTTCGCCGGCCTGGAGGAGTGTCTGAAGTTCCTGGAGAACTTCCACTACTCAGACGGAGGTATTTAGGGGATTGTGGGGCTCTTGAGGGCGCTTCTGCGATGTATTTTGTGTGTGTGTTGCAGACATTGAATATCTGCGGCAAACGCTGCCGGACGGAATTGAGGATGAGTTCTTTGAATATCTCAGCCATCTCACGGCCAAGGATGTCATCATGTACGCGATCGAGGAGGGTTCTGTGGTGTTCCCGCGCGTGCCGCTCATCAAAGTCGAGGGTCCGCTGATTGTCGTGCAGCTGCTGGAGACGACGCTCCTCACGCTGGTCAACTACGCCAGGTGAGCATTGTCTGCCGAGCCTCTGAATTCCACTCCCGGATGATTTGTTGTCACTCTTTCGTCCGCAGCTTGATGGCCACGAATGCGGCACGCTATCGAATGGTGGCGGGGAAGAACATCAAGTTGCTGGAATTCGGGCTGCGGAGGGCTCAAGGACCCGACGGCGGACTCTCTGCATCGAAATACTCCTATGTCGGTGAGTCTCACTCTCTCTCCCTCTCCCTGTCTTCCGCCTCCCGCCCCCGGAAAGGCTCTTGAGGTGGTACAAATTCGTTGCAGAGGAACATTGTGAATCGCACGGTTTTCACTCAATTCCTCATAGAGTTTATTAGATCGATATAAATTTTGCCATATTAGCAATTTATGTGTACAAAAGGAAAGGAAAGTTGGCCAGGAGGAGAGGATGGTAAGAAAGGGCGGGATTTCCCCGGTGAAGCACGAAGAGAAAGAACTCCAATGGTATTCCAATGTTCAACGTATAGAATCACGATGCTTTTTGGCCAACAAATAAACACACTGACAAGTGGAATGTTGCGAACACTGTGGAAAAGTTTGGGGATTTTATCAAAAGGATTTGATGATAAAGACTGAGATTAGAGTGAATCAATGAATGGTAAAAATAAGCAAATGAACAAATATTTGGCAAAAATTATCGAGGAAATGATGTTGTTAGACAATCAATTGGCTGATTATTTGCCAACATCTGTGCTTAGATCGATGAGGTTTTTGTCTAAATTTCACTGTATCTAAACGGAACACATGCGATAAGGAATTTATAGAGGCGCAGAAAGAACGTGCGATAAAAGCATTCATGATCTTTCTCTCAATACACGAAAACCGCACTCAATTCATTCAAGAAAAGTCGAAATACTAAAGATATCCTTTTCTTTCATTTACGAAGAATGGAAAGAAATAATAACAAGTTAATGACTTCTTGGGATTAAGAAGAAGTTGAAAAGACATTGAACGAAGTGTTTTCAAGCCTACAGACTTGATTTTCCATTCAATTTTGAGACATTTTGCAGACTGCACTTTGCGGCTTCTCTTTCTCATTATCTTTAATAGCTTTAACTCTCTGAGGCTTAGCTTAATCCAGATTGTTTATTGGGTGATTATTTGTCAAAGTATCTTGTTCATTTCGTCTGCAATTGAACGCGGCAATTGAAGCCGAAGAAGTATGAAATCACGGTTGTTTACGGCGTGATTGCAGTCTTATCTCAGCCACTGTGTCTGCGCGAATAATTTCCACCTAGAAACTGTTGTCGTGCATATTGTTTGCCGAATATCCCAATATTTTTCATCCCCCAATCGCGAAGGTGGGGAAAAAATGTTGTGGGAGAAGGAGGGAAATTTGCATGAAGTCGCGAGGGTGATGAAGTTCCGCGATGGGGTGTTGAGGGTGGGAAAGAATTTATCGATGACACGTGAAGGTTGAATCACACACAGAGTGAGAGTGTTTGGGTGCAAACAAGCAATAACCGGCGATTTTTTCTCATTTGCAATCACACTAAACACGTCCATGGACACTTTCGTCAGCCTGATTGACGTCGCTTGGCTGTCCGAATATCAGTGTTGGGCTCTGTTTGTCACTCTCTCGCTGGAGTTTTTCTTGTTTTTTCGCATGTGATTCACCTCAGTCGGGAGCAAAATCTATTGACCTAGTCATGATAGTTGTTTCGAAAATACAGCTGACATTGAGACTCACACTCGTGACTTCTCTTTTTAGAATCTCACCCGGCATGATTTTTACGTGGAAAATTGATGTTTGCAATTCAGCGGCTCTTTTTTTTTTTTGCTATTCCATTGTCTATCGAACGATAGTGAAATCTATTTTCAATTGCAATCACGCTTCTTCCGAGGTTGAGGAGTGAAAAGTGCGCGCGCGAAAAAAGAGTGTGGGCGGCGCAATTGGCTTTGTGTGATGTTTGCCAGAATGTTGAATTCGAAATGAGGGAAAAATATGATCAAAATAAAGGTGTTTTGATCAACAATTGGAGAAAAACAAGACCGAAAAGTGATTTAGCCTCACTGAATCTTAGCATAAACATCCTTGATCTTGATACACTGTTGCTGCCAATTAAATAGAGCACCTGAATGCGTGGCTTTTATCATATAGAAGTGCTCTAAATGCATTATTAGAAAAGAAAAAAGCATAAATATGAGCTATTTTGACGATAAAGATTCAAATTGTAATTGTCAAACATCTTGAAAGCCCACAAATTATGTTTATAACAATATTGAAACAGAGGAAAAGCATTAAAAATCACGGAAAAGCATTGTAGAAATCGACGGGTTCGTCGAAAACTATCAAAAGCCAAAATCGCCACTTTTCAGCTGAGCGAGCTCAAAATTTAGCGTTAATACAGCTGCGAAATTTGCCGAAATTTACTTCAAAATGCCTTCAAATCGTCTGTTAAGTTTCAAATAAAGATCTGTATTTATTATTTTGTAAATATTTTAGCTGATTTTATTGGCATTTATTGGAATTTTTGACTAAAATATGGTAAAATTAATTAAAAATCTCAAAATATCACTGTCCAAAGCCGATTTTATTAAAATTATCAAAAAAAAATCAACTTTTCATACTCTTTCTTAATGTTTTCCAGTGAAAAAATTGAAAAGATATGAGAAATATTCATTCAAAGTCTTAAAATCATTTTAGGATAATTCTGAAAGTCTTTAATTAGGCGTCTGACTGCAATTTTTGAGAGATTTTCCAATTCATGATTTGAATCCTTTGAAATCCGTGTGGTTTTTCCATCGGCAACACTCGAAAGAGGATTATAAAAGTTCTGTTTCCACGCGGAGAATTGATATGAGCATAAATTCGTCGTAAAACTCACTCGCGCGTGTAAAAGCTTTTTATTTAATTGAGCTCTAATGAGAATATTAATTGAATATGTTCACCAAGAGAAGTTCGTGGAAAGTTGCAAGTGAGCTTTCGCATAGTTTTCCTCACATGAGAGCTTCCGTCCTTTCCGAACGGCAAGAAATTGCGGTATGAAAGGTAGAGAAATTATTAACGAGGTTACAAGAACATCACGCTAGATTGTGTGTTTGTGTTTGTGTGTGTGTTTGTGCGTCCCTAAGGAAGTATCAATTAAGTGCATCGATCAAGCATTTTCTTTGCCACCTTTGGAGAAAGTCGACGGCAAATAAAGCACGGCGCGGGCGAGAAGGTGGCAGAAAATGCCTGTTTTGGTCTGTTTTTGTGGGAAGGGGGAAAAACGTGAACTTTTTCCCACGGATTCGGCAAAATATGCTGAATTGTTTTGTGTTTGATCGTGTTGGACGATAATTTAGGCGAATGGCGATACCTTGAAGTTCACCTCGCCGTCGAAAGTTTCCGTCAAAAGTTACCCACGAGAGGGGCGCATTTTATTACCAAAACTATTTGGAGCACATTGGAAATGGAATATGCCGCAGTTGATGATTTGATAGGGGCTGAAGAAGAGTGAGAGAAGCAATGAATGGATTCTTCCTTCGGCTTTTTGCACACAATAAATTCTCACTCTTCATCTTCTCATGCTGTATAATTCCTCTCGTCTATTGTTATGTGCGAAAAAGAGTGTGTTGAGTGGGATTTGCTCTATTTATTCCATAATATGCTGAAGAAAATTGATAATGAAAATGTCGTGCTGTGTTTCTTCCTCAAGCAAGTCATATTTTATGCAGTAAATCATGGCAGGAATTAAACCTGATAAGGACAATGTTGAATGCTTTAGAGACTAGGTTGTAGAATCGGCTAAACATAGACCGCATAAATGGGTTAAGTTGCACTTCAAATTACAAAACAATGACAAGACACTGATAATATAAACACGATTTGACGAGTTGTGACGATTTGTAGGCCAAACGATAAGAGTTCTGTGGCAAAACAAGATCAAAAGATGACTCAAAACGTTGCATTGATTATGCTGAAGCATGCAAGAGTGATAAGAAATGATGCAAATGACGTAAAATCCTCTCTATTTCCACTGAAATGAGTAATTTTTCAGGCAAATACTCTAGTTTTGATGCCATTTTCAGTCATAAATCACTGAAAAATCATGGTAAATGCCTAAAAATGAGGTTTAAAGTTCAATATGAACTTTCCTCCGTGGCTTTTTCCAGTCACTCGACAAGAATTCGAATAATTTATGTGGCTTTCATTGTCGGCAAAACTGTTCATATCGCTTGTGTGACCCTGCAAATAATAGTTGAACTGATTTTGAATATATCGAACCGTGCAATCATTCGATGACAATGACTCAGAGGTTTCGCATTGAACTCTTTTTGCGCCCTCCGCCAAGGGTTGGGGTGGTGAATTGCTTTGGGAAACGTGACAAGGCGACGTGGTGAAATTAATTTATAGAGAGAGTGTTTCTTTTCAATTTCGCTAAGAGCGATTACAGACTATCCGATTATCCACGGGAGGTTCAGCGAGAGCGCGAGTGTGTACGATTGACAGTTCGCTTAGCCAGAAAATGCGAATAATCTCTCGATATATCAAAGTTTCGTCCGATTTTTTGGGGTTATCGACAGCAGCGCGCTCGTGCGACAATGCACCGAAACAATGAACGACTCAGGAAAGACAAAATGGCGAATCTCTTGCGAATGATTTCTTGGATTATTAAAATAATTAAATTCTTCTGTTTACCTTTCATTTTAGCAGTTTTTATCGTAAAATTACACGCTTTTTGATAAAATAAACATACAATTGACAGCTGATTGCGGAATAAGAAGCAAAATTGTCACTAGACAAAGAAGAATAATCCCTGAGTGTGTTTAGCGCCAGTTCAGCCAATGGCTAATCCATATTTTGAGTGTGTAAAAGGGCAGATCAACCACAAATTATCGCTGATCTGACCTTTACACACTCCAAGCTCATCCACGGAGGATTGATCCCAGTTCGCGCCGATTCGAGGATAAGCGGCAAGTCTGTAAACGATCTAATGGTGACTCTTTTGGGCCTCTTCAAGGTGGCTTCGATGGAACATCAAATGTTCTGGCTGGAAAACTGTTTGACATTCCTGTGAAGGGGACTCACGCTCACGCCTACATCACATCCTTCACTGGCTTCAGTGAGCTGAAGACAAGGACTCTTCGTCACAAAGTCACAGGTGAGAAAAGATTGTCTGATGATCGAATGTTTGCTGTACTGATTTGTCGCGCTCTCTCGCAGGAATCCCGCAGGATCTGCTGGAGTTGTCCATCAGGCACAGGGACGCGCTGTCCGAGGTGCTGGACATCTCCACGGAGGAGTCCAGCGAGGGCGAACTGGCCGCCATGGTGTCCTTCGCCATTGCATTCCCGGACGGATTCATGGCCCTTGTCGACACGTACGATGTTAAGAGGTATTTCGCTTTTAGGCAAAACTCTCTCGGATTTGTGTGTGTGTTTCTTTGGGCAGTTTTGTGTGCCGGTGTTTCTCTTTTCTTTCCAGAACATCTGCTCTCTCTCTCTCTCTGCTATTTTCCTCCGGTTTTTTCCCCATGTTTTCCATCTATTTCTGGACTGTGATCTGACCCATATATTCTTCACTGATCTGTCTCACTTTTTTCCTCCTCTATCTCTCAATGGTCTCAAATGTGTGTGCGTTTTTTGCTGGGCCAGAAGCTTTGGAGGCGATTTGCGTTGTACTTTCGGGGCGAGAATAGGGTGAATCAAGTGTTAATTGTTGCTGATTTATTTTTAAACTCTCCATCTGGCGATTGAGACACCCTATTTCTTCTTCTTTATACTTTGTAGTCTAATTGTGAGAATTGCGTGTGATCATAGAATATCTCTTGGCGTGTGTGCGAATGTTTTTTTTCTGGGGTTCCTTGACTTGATAACTTTTTTATTGCCATGCTTCACAATTCAATTCGAGGGGTGAAGAACTGTGCCAATTTGCCGATCAATTCAATTCATAGAAAGTATTTGAGAATCTGCCGATCTTGAGCGGATAAATTGTGCCTTACGATGATTGCATTTAATATCTCTTAAGGTAATGAGCAATTCTTGACTTAAATTGCCATGAAAAAGTGACATTTTCAATTATTACAATTGCTTTTAATACTGGAGTGTCGAAATAATGTGTGTTTTATATTGGAATTGAGGCGTCGTTGCAACTTTACTTTCATAACATTCTAAATAAGCTTTCAATTCATTTCATTTGCGAAAGTGGGGAATTTATCTTTTGTGCGACAAGACAAGGGAAGCCGGAAAATTCACGTGAAAACCAATGTTTTTATGTAGATAAATACATATTTATTGAATTTTTCTAATTATTTGTCCGCATTTCAATGTACAACATTGAGGTTATGTGTTTCTGGACATATATCTAACCTTTTCAAGGAAACTTATTGGTTTCTGGACATTCTGGCCAGCAGAATCCTTCAAGAATCCCATGGGAAATACGCCCAATGTCAGGAACAGTCGCGGATGAAGATGAAATTCACTTTTTCGTTCAGTTTAACTCATTATTCGCCGAATACATTCATCGATGCGCTTCTCGTTCGTATTTCATTCGTACTTTACACTAGCGCCATCGGGCGGCTGTCAGTATAACCTATGAAAACGTAAAGTAAAACTTAAAACCAAATTGGTAGCTTTTACGAACTGATATATGAAATTTGTAATGTTGCAACGACTCTTAAGTTAGTTTTAACGTTTTAACAATTTTTATAGTACAATTGCATCAAATTTAATGAATTTTGTCCTAAAATGTCGTGTGAAGTATGAAGAGAACTTGAGTTTCTGAACAATCTGAGGTAATTTGATTTTGCCTTGCTAATTAGCGCCGTGATCGTCGATAAAGTGATGATTTGGTTATTCAGTGAGGCACATTTCCACCCCTTGATTTCTCTCCTTATCTCTCCTCCACACTTTTCGTGGTGTCTTTCAACTCTCGCGCGCGAGTGCGACGTTGGGAGATACGACGAGAAGTGAGTTTGCTAAAAATTTATTGTGTCTGGCCGTTTTACAATGTTGCGATCGCGCGCATTTGCATAAGAAAAATGTCAATGATGTCGATTAACATTGCTATGCGCGCGCGCACGCGTGCGTGTGTGTGTGTGTTTTGGCGAGAAATGCCTCAATATAGAGATTTGTGCTGAAAGTGAATTAATTCTAGTGCTCAGAACGGCGTGGATGCGCACCCGAATGGGGAGGTGAATGGATCGTCCGATATCAACTCGAATATCACTTTGCCAAATGTTGCCATAGAATGTAATCATAAGACTGATGTGAGACCAAAGTTGCGATGCAATGCCGATGTAGAATGTAAATGTAGTGATGAGATGGGCCGGAATGGCGAGCCGGAGGATCACGCGAGATGCTCATCCATGAGAAGTAGTAGGAAGATTCTTGTAGGACATGTTGTTTTAGGCAGAAACAGACTGAATCTGTTGACAAATGTTGGGAAGTCATTCAGGTAATTACACACTGTATATTTTCTTTCTTTTCCTATATTATTGTTTAATTATGTCATGAGAGAGAAGCACACGAATTACTTTTTGTCTGTCCCTTATCACACTTTATCACTTTATGACTTTTTTTTTGGTGTGAATAATTTGGTTTATTTTTTTTTCTTAATTCCCCCGAACGAAATTCACATTTCGGATTTTGGTTGCATGATCGAATTTACATTATTTTTTTTTTTTAATGTATTTTGGTTTTTGAATAACTTTTTTTTCTCATGGGATTTTTACTTTACATAAGATTTAATTGATAAACTTACGATGTTGTCTTGTGTTGTCTTATATTATTCGCCTCTATATTTTTGCACAATACGAATTGGATCAATTGCCCTGACAAGTAAATTGACTTCCCAACGCATTTGTAACAGAGGTACGTAGCCGTTGAGTCACCATAATCAGTTATCAGTTGAGAAATATATTGCCTCTTGCCGTTGAATTTCTTTAGTCTCTGAAGCGTTGTGAAAAGGTATTATTATATATATATTATTGCTGGTAAAAAAAAAGAATATGTTGAAAAAGACAGAAAATTGCAAAGGTTTGTCGATATACTTTGTAACATAGAATTGTAATAATCCACATTTCTTTTCAAATTGTGTTTCTCTTAATTTGAATTTGTTGACAATTATTATACTTAAAGTTTGCTCACAGACTTTTTGATCAAAGAGATGTAAGTAAAGTGTAAGTTTAAAGTCCGAGAGAGCACTGCACGGCTTTGTGAAACATGTAGTGATCATTTATTTGTCGTTTTTCTTTTGTTGTTGTTGGTGTATTTCCTCTGGTAGAAGAAGCATTATCTAATCGTAGATGAGAATAAAAAAGAGAGTCTCACACAATCATTTTACCACCATTTTCTATAGTTGATTTGATTATGCTTTTATCTCTTTTTCTGTTCAATTTGCATGCGCGAATGCGTCATTTTGTGGTAGAGATTAGAGTTGCAAGTTGTTTAAATATAAGCGCATTTGTTGTGTAATTCGAGGCGAAGAACACGTCTTCAAACTAATTCCCATGAATGACTTCATCTGTAAATAATTATCAAAACTATTGTTGTTTCTCTATGTGAATATATTTTTCCTACCTTTGGAGCAACAAAATCCCATTCAAGGCAGCAGCATTCTTTTTTTCATAACTTATAGGCACACTTTTCACGCGGTGAGTGACCAGAAGAGTTTCAAAGCTGCAAGACAGTCGCTGGCGTCCAAAAGCCACGCCCATTTCAATGCTCCGCCCACTTTTCTGGTCACTTTTCGCGGGAGAAGCAAAAGAAACCCCTTTTCTTCTCTCAATCTTAGCTGACTTTGGTGTGGAAACTGTGGCAAATCGTTCTAATAGTCTGTCGATGCTCTCTTCTGGCCAATTTCAGGAGTGGTTTGCTCAATTTCTGCGCCGTCGCGCTGGCGCTCAACGATCAAGGCTATCGCGCCATCGGCATCCGCATCGATTCGGGCGATCTGGCGTACTTGTCGTGCCTGGCCAGGCAGACATTTGAGCAGGTTTCAGCTCGCTTTCGCATTCCATGGTTCAACACGCTCACGATTGTGGCGTCGAATGACATCAACGAAGACACCATCATCAGTCTCAACGAGCAGGGCCACAAGATCGACTGTTTCGGGATAGGAACGCATCTTGGTGAGTCCGCGAAATGCAATGGAGAATCACAGACACTTCTAACACTCTAGCACAGCTTAACTTTATAGAGATTTTCAACTGTCTTAAGTGACATAACCTCAAATTTAGGAGTCTTTGTTCTAAAAGGACGCAATTTTATCGAGATATTTAAAAGAATCCCTAAAAAAGAAACATTTGGAACGTTTTAAAGGCAAACATAAATAGATAATGAGCTAAAATTTGCAATGTTAGAGTAGAAAATCAATCAAAAAGCTCTTAAAACAGACAATTTTGTATCTTGAAACAATATTTTTGAGGTTATGATTAATCTTACCGTAATTAACACATTTTAACATGGAAAGCTTGCAATATTCATCAAATTTCAGTATTATTGCGCCAGTAAATTGCAAATCAAACGAGTTTAGGCGCAGGAATGAATGATTTTGAAGGATTATTTAGTGGTAAAGTCAATTGAGCTGTACTTCTGACCACAATATCTCCTCCTTGGCTTGAACTTAACTTATCTGCGCTCTGTGGTGTTTCAGTGACTTGCCAGCGACAGCCGGCGCTGGGCTGCGTGTACAAGCTGGTGGAGATCAACAGCCAGGCGAGGATCAAGCTGAGCCAGGATGTGGAGAAGGTGACGATGCCGGGGAGCAAGAATGCATTTAGGCTGTTCGGCGCGGACGGACACGCGCTCATCGATCTCATGCAGAAGGTGTCCGAGCCGCCGCCCGAGGTGGGCCAGAAGGTGCTCTGTCGCCATCCATTCCAAGAGTCCAAGCGCGCCTACGTGATCCCCACGCGCGTGGAGTGTCTGTACAAGGTGTACTGGCGCGACGGGCGCATCTGCCAGTCGCTGCCGGGCCTGGATCAGGTGCGCGACAGGGTGCAGGCGTCGCTGAAGACCGTGCGCAACGATCACAAGCGCACGCTCAACCCCACGCCGTACAAAGTGGCCGTGAGTGATCATCTGTACAACTTCATTCACGACTTGTGGCTGCAGAACGCGCCCATTGGCGAGTTGTCATGATAAAGGGACACCCGAGGAGTGGCCACACAGCTAAGGAGGCGGCGGACAATGGATGGGAGGAAGGGCAGACGCTTGCAATTGTTGATTCACCCACACTCACGAGTCCCCCTTTCGTTTAGAACGCGCGCGCGTGACCCGAAGAATTGTGCCTTTTTCCCCTGTATTGCCGATGTGCGTGACAGAGATTGACATCCAGGACAGCTGTGCTGATGATTCTCCCCCGGAATTGTGGGCGGAGAATCGATAAAAATTGTTGGTTTTTTCTAGCGAGAGAGAGAGAATTTCTCTCCCCGGGTGGGAGTTTATCCAAATCACTTGTACCTCTCTTTTGTCTGTAGGATTTCTTGTAGAGAGCCGTAAAATCACCCACGAAAAAAGATAGCTTGTGAAGGAGAAGATCCTTTTTGGCCTGTGAGGCTGAGGGATGTCGTAGTAAAAGACACACACGTAATTTTAAGGGCGACATTTGTGTAGGTTTTGCGGGAACATTTTCCCGCCCATCAATTCAGTCTGTGAAATAAATAAAAAAAAACGATGAGGTTTGTAGGGAAAGATAGTGAAAAAAAAATGAGAAGCTCTTCGAGATCTTGCCACCTTTTTTTGTCCACCAACTCACAATGTAATAATTAGGTTTAGCAGAGGCGACACTCAGCAAGCGCGCGCACTAGTGGATTAATTGCAAGAGATGTAGAAGATCAGAAAACACCCAATGTTTTTAGTCGTGTAAAAGGTGGGGATTTTACAGAGGAGAATAAATTATTTTAAAAACCTCGCCAATGTAGTTGAATCAAAGAAGGTTAAACTTTATTCTCTCTTGTGTTGTGTGTTGTGTGGAATAAATCTTTACACGTCCACGCGATTGAGGGTAGAAAAGGTGGCGCCAGCGGACGCCTGGGCATCAGTAGTCGTCGCCACGTGAGACGATCTCCTTGCAGGACGGACGCAGCATGATGGTGTGCTCGTACTGCGCCGTGTAGCAGCCCTTGACGTCGCACAGCGGCGGATAAGGCTCCACCACGTTCTTGTCGCACAGATCCTTGAGGGCCATCTGGTACTTGGTGGCGCCGGCGCGGTCCAGCCAGCGCTTGCAGAACGCCAGCGTGCTGAAGTTCTTGTTGATGATGTTCAGCAGCACCTTGGACGACTGCAGGCGCAGCGGCACGTACTGCGCGTCGAAGTTCTTCATGTAGTGGCTGCAGTCCATGTCGTCGTGCACCTGGCCGCGGCCCGTGGAGCCGAACGTCTCGATGGCATAGAACTCGTTCTCCTCCATGCGCGTCGTCTCGCCGCCCTTCACGATCGGCACCGTCTTGCCGGAGTGGATGCGATACGGGCCGATGGAGTGGCCGTTGAGGTTGCGGATGCTCTTCACCTGGTACGTCTTGCCGTCCAGCTCCACCTCGTACGACTCCATCACCTCCTGGATGGCGGCGCCGATGTCGCACAGCCTCACGTCGATGCCGGCCTCGCGGATGCCCGTGTTGGTGGCCTCCCGGACGGCCTCCTTCAGCTTGTCGTACTTGTCGTTGAACGTGAGCGTGAAGGCGCAGTCGATGATCCTGCCGCGTATGTGCGTGCCGAAGTCGATCTTGCACACATCGTCGTACTGCAGCACCGTGGGGTCGCCGGCGTTGGGCGTGTAGTGCGCGGCGCAGTGGTTGAGCGAGCAGCCCGTGGGGAAGGCCAGGCCCGCCTCGAGGCCGTTCTCGCCGATCAGGCGGCGCGCCGTGCTCTCCAGCTCCTCGCAGATCTCGATCATCGTCATGCCCGGCTTGATCCAGCGCTGGATGTGCTGCCGCGTCTGCCGGTGCGCCTCGGCGGCCTGCCGCAGGTCATTGTAGATGTCCAGGTGCAGGCGGTCCAGGGCGCGCTTCTCCTCGCTCGTGAATCTGTCCTTGGCCGTGCGGTCGTCCGCCGGCGCTGGGTGGTGCGCGATCTCGCCCTCGGGGAAGTTTCCGTCCGGGAAGAGCTTGGCAATTGGGATGCTGGGCGGATCTGTCTGTGCATTGCCGCCCTTCTTGTTCTTCTTCTTCTTCGTCTTGTCCCCCTCGGCCGCGGGGGCGTCGGCGGGTCCGTTCTCCTTCTCGCCGGCCGCCAGGGCTTCGGCTTCATCTGCAACAATGAGAAAGCACAATTGCCGGAGTCAGCATAACCTCACTTCCGCACACTGGCGTGATAAGCTATGGAAAATCCCCCAAGAACTGACAACACGAGTGACCTCCTGACCGCCCCAATACCTTCTCCGGCGCCGCCAGATGCTGCCCAAGGTGGTCCAACGCGAGAAAAGACTTTCAAGGCCGCCATATGGGCGAAAAAGAGCGTGCATGTGTCTAACCTGCGGCCTTCTTGTTGGCCCTTTTCTTCTTCTTCCGCTTGTTTTTGCTCTCCTCCTTGGCGCCGTCCGCGTCCTCAGCCTCCACTTTCACACCCTCCTCCTCGGCGTTCGTCGCCTCGGCGCTGATCTGCATCTTTTCCACACTCTCTTCCATTTTTCCACCGCGAGACAACACCTGACAGCCACACGGGAAATTATCGGCGGCCCAACTGAGGGATATTTCTGCGCGAATTCCCCACCTCGGGACATTTCCCCTCCACCAGAGCGTCTTTCTCACCACACCAGGCGCCTCCATCGAGTGCTTCTGCGGGAGGCGAAAAAAAAGTGGAAAATTCCAGCTTTCTTGCACATAGTTTGAGGAAATAGAGATTTTGGGAGACAAAGGTCGCCTGTACGTAATTGCGATGATTTTGTGTGAAGGAGAAATTCATCTGGGAGAAGAGCAAATTCGCAATTTGCCTAATTCGCAGCCAGGCACCAGGCGTCTCCACTTGGGAAGCTTTCGTCTTGCTTAGAGATCAAAAGAAGCTATTTTCCACCAAAAATATACTCATATTGAATGCACAAAGCCTCGAAGATTGGCTTTATGTACATATTTTCCAGCGCACCATCCGGAGATGTGGCATAAATTTGTCCCCAGAACAATGCTCCGGAGGAAAACAAAGAAAAATCCTCTTTATTTAATACACAGAGAGCGAGAGGGAGAGAGAGAATAAGCGGAAAGATAGTTGAAATAAATATGAAAGCTGAGCATTTGCAAGCACGAGGGAAACTCCGTGGCTTTCCCCACAGCGCACACATGCTTTTCCGCGCGCCAAAGTGCATTGAAAGTCTGAACGAGTGGCGGGATTTTGTTGTGTGTGCCACGAAGAATTTGTGAGATCCGCTCCGAATTCACGTCCCTCCTCGCACGCCCCCTCAGACGCCGCCACAGCACTCTTGCACTGCACTTCTTCTGGCCACGGGGCGGACGCGCGCGGGGGTGAGTGTGTGTAATTTGCCAAATGCGCTTTCCTCCGGCGCGCAAAGGTTGAAGGACCTCCTCCTTTTTGTGGGCAAAAATCGACTGGGAGACAGTGTGGGTGGCCGCTGAGCCTTTTTGTGCGCCCAGCAGACAAACAATGGCACACACAGAGAGAGAAAGGAGCGCGATATAATCAGCTTTTGCCACACGGATCCTCACGCAGAAAAATGGCACGCTTTTCCCCACGCAATTTCCTCTCGCTTTGTGTCATTAAACGGGCAATTTCACTCACTCTCCGTTTATATGCACATTTCCTCGGCAATTGCCTGGTCGTGGGCGCGCGAAACACTCACTGAATGCATGGAAATTTATTCGCTGAATTTGTTATTTTATCTCCTCTCTTCATGTCCTTCTGCTTAAGAAGTTCATATATTTCTTCATGGAGTGTTTATGATGGGCGTATAATGATGACACTACATAGAAAAAAGCGTCAAGCTTTTGAATATGACGAAAACTCTCCATTTTTCTCGCTCTTTTCTCGCCCACTTTCGATTTCAGCCAGAGGATAAATAATTGTTATTTTGATTACAATTGATAAAATTTAATATTTCAATGCTGTTTCTTGTCTGCTGTTGATTTGTCTGAAACTGTTGCATTTATTTCCGTTTAATGCTTGTCTTAAAGAACAATTATTTTCGCTTCAAATTGTTGGTCTTTCAGCATGAATAATGCATATTCAGCACAACAGGGTGAGAATAAGCGTGTTTACTTAGGACAATTAAGGGATTTCGTTGCTCAATAGCAGATTAAGGACCGCAAGAAGTTAACTGAACGATGTTTAATCACTTCAGAACTGTTAAGTGAAGCTTTGGTGAAATTCCACCAATATTTTCGGTTAATTTGCGTATTTCACTCAATAAAGCACATGAATTTCAATCACGTTTGCTCAAGAGCTTTCCGCTCTTCGCGATTTCTCAGGCGCTTGGTCGCGGCTTGGTCGCGCCGACCGTGACGAGCGTCCGGCAGCGTGACCGACGAGCCGGCGTGTCGCCGAGTGGCCGCAGGAGAAGTGGAGGAGCGTGTTGATGCGTGCACCGCAGAAGCTCGGCCACCCAGCCACCCCCACCCGTCGACGGCGTGTCGCACACAAAGTAGCAGCCAGTCTCTTTCGCGACGTCGAGCGAGGCGGTCACGCTGCTCTCGAGTGAGTCTTTGGCGCGGTTTTTTCTCACGCCACTCTTTTTCACTCTCCGTCTTCGGCACCTCAGCACTTCTCATCGCATTTTCGCGCAATTGGCTCCATGCCGCCGGTGTGTGTGTGTGCGGTGGCGTCAATATGCGACTCTCGAGATCGTAAATCTGCAGTCAACCGTTGAAAAGTGTGGGCATCGATTTTCGTAGAGAAGTCGCGGGCGAGCCAAACAGCCGACATCGGCGCGGCTATTGATTGCGAAATTGTTCATGTGAAGAAGAAAAATACCGCTCGCGTCCTCCGGCGTGTGCAGGAGCTGGCCAAGAGTGGCCAGGTGGACACGACGGTGCTGGGTGAAGAAGTGCGCGCTCTCGAGAGCGCCTCTGACCATCTGTGGCGCGGTCATTTGAATCGCCGCGAGTGGAGTGCAGAGAGATGTGATTTGGCAGAGGAGGAGGTGTCGCTCCGGTGAATGTGTGGTGACAAAGCGCTGCCCAAGTGATCACCTGCAGCACTCCCGAGAGTCGGAGTAGACTGAAAACTGTGTGTTGCATTCACTGCAGCGCCTCTGGGTCGACCAGTTTGCTTCAGCTGATGTGAGTGATCGCGATCCGTGACGTTGCGCTGGCTCATTAATGAATTCACTTTGAGCACTACTTTCTCGCCTCATTGCTATTGTGTCTCGATGTTACGTGAAAATATTCCCGCAGTCGCTTTCGGGGTCCTTCTTCCACTCTCTCGCCTCACTTTGACACGCGGTGACCTTTTCGGGCCGAATCTGGCGCGGCTGCGGCCCTCCGCGCCGCCCCAGAGGCGCCCGATGGGCACAGCTGGCCCTAATCCTCCTCTCCGCTCTTGTGCAACTCCGCGCGCCCCGTCATATGACCGTCGTGCGACCGACCGCGGGGAGTCCGCACTAATTGGCATTAAATATTGCGTGTAGCCATCATCAATCATGCAAATAAGTGAGGAAACGTATGATCACGATTTGTAATTATAGCCAAGAATTACAGTCATTACGGATTTGCAAGAGGCGAGGGGGAAAAAGTGTACTTGCAGCAAATTGCCAACTGATTTTTGGGAGCTTCTCTGCAGACACAGCGAGAGAAACCGCCAATTTGCCCATACCTTGGCGAGCGCGAAGGAAAAAATCTGCCAAATAAAGTAAAAAGTTCACTCAATTTCACAATGCCTCTCGGCACTTTTCATCGCATAATTCGCAGTTCTAATTATTTTGTAACAACATTATATCGCTGTTTTCCAATTAATGGCAAAAAGGGAGCTTTTGTTACGCAACTTGAAATGTAAACCCTTCAAAAAGGGTGATTGTAATGCTGCCTCATGCAATATTTATGGTCGCTCCGGGAGATAATTCCCATCTCTTCACAGAATAGTTGAGCATTCTCCACAGTCACTTCAACTTTAGATTCCTCGAAAACATCTGTAATTTTTGCCTCTACAATTTTGAGAGTGGAAATGTGGAGAAACTTTAGGGATGCTCAGCGATTTCCTCCCGCAAAATCCAACGTGAGGCCACGTAAGAGGCTGATATAAGAGATATTCCAGTGGCATGATCTTGAGACGCCGATGGTGGGGAGACAAAACACCAATTTCCACGTCCACTGCATCATTTTTATTAGTTAGTGGACTTATTAAAGTGCAAAAAGTGCAATTAAAGTTGAATTATTGCCATGAAACATTTTACAGAATGGCACACACAGTCACACAATAAATGGACATTTTATTGACTCATGCTCGAACGAGCTTTTCTCTCTTGCCCAAGATTAAAAGCTCTCAAATGCAAACACTGCAGGTCCGGGCGAAGGCGCGTGCATAAATTCTATGTCACATGCAAGTGGCGAAACAATAAGAAAATTGTATCTGCAGTAAATTATGAAATTGTTCATGTGTGTGCGACGCAAGGGGGAGATAGTGTGGCTGGAAGCTGTACACCACTTCCTGTACACCATTTGAGCCTTCGTCAAGCCTTCCATTCTATGTTGCTCATCTAAGAACCTTCAAAAAAGTGATTTATAAGACATAATCAAGCTAAATAGAATTTAAAATTGGTCAAAAAGTTTTTAAAAATTACATTTTACAAGTCCAAACTATGGTTTTTGAGGTTATGATTCACTTTAGCACAATTTTCAGTGCATTTCTCAACGGTAGAGATCCAAAATTGCAACAATTTCACTAAAACTGTCTCAAATTTATCACATAACTTAAATTGTCAGAGAAGAATTACTCAAGAAAGGAATATTTGATCACTTTCTAAGACTTCTGGCGAATTGTACACCACTTCCGACCACAATATCTCCCCCTTAGCGCCGGGGAAATGCTACAAACCACTCTTGGTGCTGTCTTGCAACTGCAGATTCTCATGTTCTCCGCAATCCCTTCGCCTTCGGCCGCAAGACGAATGGCTTAGCTAAGTCTTGCAGCCAGCGAAGAAGGTCTCTCGCTTAATATTTAACGCCCAGGCGGAGCGCGCGAGGGAGGGAGGAAAATGAAGCCATGGGTCAGAGGGACTAAGGAGGTGAAAAGAATAATTTAACGTACGAGTCCCTCTTCACCCATGAATTCTCATTGCATGACTCAACGGATTCTCTGGCGCGCTGGGGAAAATCTCTGGGATATTCCGGGGAATTTTCATTTTCATTTAAAAGCTCCACTCCACACACATTGAGAATCTCTCTCCCGCAACATAGATTGGCGCTATTTCCATTCTGTGCGTTTTAAAAAACTGAAATTTATAGGCAATGTCGTTAACCTTCATTGTCAAACTTGTAGCTCATTTTTCTTCTCGCGCGCACTCATACTTCTTGTACACATAACTTCGCCTCGAGTTCTTGCACATTATTTTTAACACATCCACATCACGATGTGAATCATGTTACTTCTATGTGAATGATAAGTGGTTGGCAAAGGCAGAGCGAGAGACCCAAATCGAAGTGGAGCGAGAGGAGAGAATTTGTGGCAATTTTGCATTCACATAAATTAAGAGTGAAGGAAAATGGGAACAATCACGATGATTTGACCATTTTCCAACAGCGCGGCCACTGGAGAATATCTGCCCCCATTTTCCCGTCCGTAATTGAAAGATATTGCCTGAGGAAGTTGCGAAAATATGTTATTGGAAAATCTCATCATGAACTTTCCATGTAAAACAATACTCGCTTCTGCACTCACTTTCCTCCCTTTCTCCCACTCTCTCTCTCTCTCTCTATTGGGAAAGTCTTTAAGTCTTCCCTACAATATTTCAGCTCACCAATAATTGCATAATTACTCAGCGCTGTGTCTCTGTGAATTCAGCTCCGAAATTTAGCCAAAAACGCTGATTAGGGCAATTTTCCACTGTCAATCCAGAAAATCTTGCGGACAAAGAGGACAGATTGCGAGCGAGGGAAAGTTTCAAGGGAAATACTACAGAGTGATCGTTTGAGGGAGCTTCGAGAGCTTTTGCAGTGAATCCCAGTGGAAGATTAGCTATGCAAGTGCGCTCTCAAATGGGAAGTATCATTAATGGTGAGCGCACAGATAATGGGTTTGAGAATGTGGAGTTTGCGGTGGGAGCAATGATTTTCCCCACAATAAACTACACCCCAAACCACGAGCATTTCAAATGCAATTATTAATTAAAAGTCCGAAGTGCGACTCCCATCCGTTTGCCCTTCGCCAAGACAACTCTCTCTTTCTCCCTTTCTCTCTGTGGTGGTTTATGTGCCAAGAAATTTTTCCACCAATTATGACAATAAATTGATGGTGGCGCGCACATGAAAATCCAACAGAAGCGAATTTGGGGATTTAAATTGTTGCCATTGCGAGATAAGATTGCAGAATATTTCCACCCCATCTTCGTCCATTGTGTCTCTTTCTTCAATTTAGTCCCCTTGGAAATGTGGTGAAAACATTTAAATGAAATTTTCTCTCTCACTTTCTCTGACTGTCTTTCCACCTCATTTTGCCCCCTAAAAACACTCACACTCTGGGGGGCAATTTTGGCTGTTATTGCAACGGGCGGGGAGAAAATAGTTTTGCCCAGAGAGTGGCGATTGCCATTTGGAGAAAAACACTTGAGCCACCTTCACACCCTCCGTCGCGGCAACAGCTTATATCATTTTCGATGGGGTTGATGCCCACCCACGCAAGGCGGCTGCCGCTCTCTGTGGCTGCGGTGTACGCCAGGAAGCATCTCACGAGTGTTTGCTGAATCCAAAGTTGGACTTGCTAAATGGGAAGTGACGCAAATTGAAGTGAAACATGGAATATTTCACTGTTTTCTCACATGCTTTCATGCCAAAAGCGTCTCTCTATTCAGACTCTCTCTAAGCTTTAAACTCAGGAATGAATGTGGGAAAATAAGCAGAAAAGAATCCTTTTTAAAATCATAATAATAGCACTTTGTTGAAGAGAAGTTCTTCTCAAGTAAACTCTTCAAAGTAAAGTAAAATTGCACACTTCTTAGATGCAAAACAAAACAGATTAGACAAACAAGCATTTTTCTACTCCGAATAAGTAAGAATCTTTTGGTAAAACACACTTTAATTCGGTCTGAATTTGATTTTCTTATCAAATTGAGTTTTCTTCTCAGCTTAAACTTAAGCATTTTTAACTCTAGAAAGACTTTCAAACAACACACAAGATTAGAAAGGACAAAATTAGTTTATGGATGAATATTTTGCTATCGCTTGACCAGTCTTGTTTCACTGAATTGTATTAACGCGACAACTTTGAACAACTGTTAAGCTCTTGTGTAAATTTCGGAAGGCTTAAGAGGCCAATGAAGTCAGGAAAGTTCAAGTTGTGCAGTTAATTTTCGTGCTTCGCCTCAGGATGTTGCGACACGTCGGGGCTCAATATCCAGTGAGAGAAGTCAGTATATTGATTCCTGGGCAAATAGATCCAAAGGCTATTTTCCGAAGGAGTTTCTTTTTCCACTGTGCGCACATGTGAGAGCTCTTTCGCATAAATTGCCCACAATGCGTTGAGTGTATGTCATTTATTTTCAATATACGAAAAAATGTCTCTCTTTCTCGCTCTAAAAATTCATCCCCATAAATTGTGGGGGAATTGAACCATTCCGTCCCGTCCGCCGGGCCATTTGCAATAAAAAGGAGTCTTAGGGATCTCGGGCACATGACTTAATGCCGAATCTCGTGGCGCACACGACAATGGCCTGGCGATTGGGCAAGGTTTTAGCCTTATCAGGTGCTCTCCTGCTCCGCACACGCACACACACACACGCTGCATTATCTCGGGGCGTGAGGCTCTCGAGGGGGCACTTATACGGGGGGTGGAAAAATTGGCCAGAGCAGCAGAGCACGAGAATGATTAAAAGATTTGACTTTGGAGACGCAAACTTGTAGCTCGAGAGTGATTTGGTGTGGTGGAAACAATGGCACACAGGATTACATTTGTACATTTTGGGGTGAAGAGGGATAAAATTTATTCCATCCCATAAATCATTTTGTGTGGATAAAATCTCTCTCTCTCTCACACACACACAATGATGTGGTTTTCGGGTAGAGAAGGAGAATTTACTTATGCGCGCGGCCCTGCAGACGAGAAGAAGTTGCAAAATGAAAAATTGCCACAA